CAACGGTAAGGTGGACAATAGCAGGACGGGTTGTCAAAGCAATGGGATCGTTGACTTCTCAGTCGTAATGTGGATGAGAAATGGGTCCCTTGGCGGGTGGAAGGGTTTCATGAGAATCAACACCGTTAGGCCGCAGACCCTTGGAACTTTGAGATCTAACTGACTTCCTGAGTCTTTATCAAGTGAGGGCTTTGAGGAGTGCACAGGGCCCTGTGATCAAAATGCCACATTATGTTGTCACTAAACATTTCTGTTACCAACATGTGTGGCAATGTACGGTGGCCTGTTTGGGAAAGGGACATGGTGTTAGTGGGTGCAATTCACTACCAAGTCCCTTGGGGATGCACTGGTGGTTTGCAAGCTCCGCAGGAGTTTCCTGGATGAAATCTGAAACTGGCCCCTGTAGCAGCCCCCTGAGATTGGGAAAGGCAAGCAGAGCCCTCATTCCAAGGATAGGAGAGGGGCTGGGGAGCCTCCAATTTCCCAGGTCCAGCTCATGAGTCAACTGGCAGAGGCATCTTTTCAGTGACCTATTCCAACATGCGGTCATAGGACCTCAGGGTGGAAAGGTATGATCAGGCCTGCTGGAGTGGGGTGGGTGATGGAAGAGACCTAGGAAGAAGACTTTTCCACCCCAAGGACTGGACAGATTACGGAATACTTAGAAGGTAAGACCCTGTTTCCCTGAATCAAAAATGAGGTCCAAGGATTTCCCTGTCAGTTGTAGCTGTGTGACCGGCCAGATCAAGAGTTTGAGCAATAAAATATTGGCCTTTGGAAACCTTTCTGTGCATTAAAGGGCAACAAAAACAGACTCAGAGGGCAGCCCAGGTGGCTAAGAGGTTTAGCGCCGCCTTCAGCCCAGGGCCTGATCATGGAGACCTGGGATCAAGTCCCACGTCAGGCTCTCTGCATGGAGCCTGCTTCTCCCTCTGCCGGTGTCTCTGCCTCTCTCTCTCTCTCTCTCTCTCTCTCTGTCTGTCTGTCTCTCATGAATAAATAAATAAATAATCTTTTTTTAAAAAAAGAAACAAACAAACAGACTCAGAGCCATGTAGGTCCAAGCCTGCTTAGTTAAAATTCCCACTCAAAGTTCACCCACCCTCCCTAGAGGAAGTTCCTCAGTCTCTGCTTGGACACCTCTGATACCAGGGTGCTCATTACCCTTCCTAGCCCACTGAAGCTGGATGCTTGGAAAACAAGCTTCCCCAGCATAGCACCAAACACTTCTTTCCCGTAAAATTCATGCACTGTTCCTCACTCTGCCCTTGATGACATCCTGACCAATATCGAACAGGCACAAGAAGACAGTTATCACCTGCTGCTCTTTCATACCAACCTCTGCCCTACCTCCTCCCACTCCCTCTGGGCCTGCTCTCCTCCTCCAAAGATCCCTCAGGTGATCAATAATTCCTTCCCGAGACTTTGCTTCAATTGCTAGGGTCAGGGGGAAGTTAGGATGAGTTAGAGGTTGGGGAGGAGATTACAGTGTGTGGGAGATGGGGGTGGATGGAGACTGGAGAAAGACATGCTAGTAACATAAGGTGACGTGGTTGCCATTCCATTACGCAGACCCTACCTGCCTGCCTGTTGTGTGCAGCTAACATGGTTCTCCATGTAGCAGTGAATATAGAGATGGGTAGGACACCTTTGTTCTCTGACAGTCTAAAGACCTAATACATGAAAGATCGGGGATTTAGGGCTAGGACTGGATGTATCAGTTAGCCAGTGCTGTATAACAAACCACCTCAAAGCTTAATGATTGAGAACAACCATTTATTATTCTTCATAAACCTACAGGTCAGCTGGGCAGTTCTGTTGATCTGGGCCAATCCAACCATGGAGTCACTCAGACATCTGCAGTCAGCTGGTGGGCTGGGTGAGGGCTGGCTGGTCTAGGACAGCCTCCCACAGATTGTTAAGTCTGGTGGTTGGCTAACTATGGGCTGAAGTGGTTAGGGGGATTGGGACACCTGTCTCTCACAGGACAGGGCTAGCCCAAGCCATTCTCACAGCAGGTAGGCGGGCTTCTGAGAGAGTGGGCCTCTTGGGGCCTAGACTTGGAACTGGCTCCCGCTCCCTCCTCCACATGCTACTAGCCAAAGTAAGTCACAGGCCAGCCAAGTCTCAAGGCAGTGGGAAATCGGTCCCTCCTCTCCATGGGAAGAGCTGCAAAGCCACATCGTGAAGGGTATGGCTATCAGGAGGGGTAGACAAAGGGGCCATTTTTTTGTTGCACACCCAATGAGTGTGTAAGCCATGGCAAAAACTGGGATGGCCCTGAACACACTCTCCAGAGAGGACACTAAGACAATGAGATCAAGGAGAAAGAAGTGGGCTCTCCTTGGTTTTCTGAAACAAAAATATTTTTTAGGTTTTTTTTTTTTTTCTTCAGATTAGGACAATAATATTTGACTCCCATACAATTCATTCACGAAATCAGTCACTCTTATGTGCTGTCACTCCACTGAGCTTCCCACCTCTGCTTCTATGGGAATTAACTTGAAAATAAGAGAGCACTGAACTGTAGAAACCTGTGAGCTTAAATGCATGAAAGTGCCAAGGCCCGGAGTAGAAAAAATGGACGCAACATACTTGGGATGTTTGGGAGCATCTCCCCAGCTCACTAGACTCCCTCTTCCTTAACCCTTGGGGTCAGTTATGGTTCCCCGTGGCCATGTTTTCCCTGGCAATCCCTCCCTCAACACTTCTGATTGGATGACCAGGAGTGGACACCTGATTGGACCAGTCAGTTTCTTCCTCCCTGGAATTTCAGACTCTGGGTAAGAGAGAATCTGGTCAAGTTTCCATGGTCCTATGGGATCTTGGGGATTGAGAACCAGATAAGGCCAAGAGGAGAAGGAAGCGTAGCTAGCGCTAGCACCCAGAGCACGTAGGGACTGGGCAGGACAAAAGAAGCTCCACCAGGCAGCACCGAGGCCGGGACATGAGCCCCATGTCCTTAGGAAGCCTCCTCCTTACAAAAAAAGACCCCTTTTGTGCTTAGAATATCCCAACAAGGAGACATTAAGGCCAGAAAAATGAAAGTGTGAAGGAGCATGAGCTGGTGAGGGGCAAAGCAGCTCAGGTCCTAAGAGGTGGGGGCAGGGAGCCAGGCCGGGAGATGGTCCCTGGATGGACTTAGAGGGTCTTGAAAGATGCCAAATGTAGTCCATGAGTCACTGCAGGGATCAAAGATGTGGGGAGGGATATGGCATGAATAGCTTGTGTGCCAAAAGCAGCCAGGGGAAGGAATAAATGGGGCTGGGGTCAAGGATAACTAGCTATCCACATGGCCCCAGCCACAGTTTGAAGCCTACACATTTAAAACTTTTACGTGTAACACAAGGCACAAAGCAGCAAACACACAAAAGGGTGAGCAAAATTAAAGGCATGGAACAAGTGGAAAAAATACAGTATAGGCCAGAAAGATTTTCTCATTGATGCAGTAAACTCTCCAAACAAATCCTCAGAATTGTTCAACACCCCATAGGAAAACAGGCTGAGGATATTCTCCAAAAAGGAAACACAAATGGCTCAGAAGCTTAAAAAAAAAAAATCAACCTTTGAAGTAATAATAGTAATAAAAGCACATTTAAAACAAGATCCCACGGCGCCTGGGTGGCTCAGGTCATTGAGTGTCCAACTCTTGGTTTCGGCTCAGGTCATGATCTCAGGGTTGTGAGACTGAGTCCTGCATCAGGCTCTGCACTCAGTGGCGAGTCTGTTTGTGATTCTCTCTCTCCCTCTCCCCTACCCTACCCTCCGCTCTTGCACTCTCTCTCTCGCATGTGCACGTGCTCACTCTAAAATAAATATATTTTTTTTTAATTTGAAACAAGATTCCCCTCTGATCTACATTTCCCCAGGGGAACAATGCTGTGGCGTCCCACCCAGATCCCTGTCCTTCTGTGTGAGTACCCACGGGCCCACCTCCAACACTACACCTCAGTTTCTCTCCCCGGGGGCTCTCTCTGGCTTTTAGGGTCCCCTTGCCTGTCTTTGTGGTAGACTGGAGGCGAAGGGATATTAACACGACCTGGGAGCAGCCAGTCATGGACAGGGCAAGTGCTCAGAGAGCCCAGGACTTTGCTTCTCACTAAGGTGGGATAAGTCTGCATCTTACATTGGCTCCCAGCATCAATGGAGAGATTCAGCTCCAGCCTCTCACAGGACAACAGCTTCTTGGAGGCCCTCACTCTAGGTCCCACTCCCCAACCCCCAACCCCGTGTCAGGGCTTCCTTCACTTACCAAATAAGCTACTTGCCCTGGAATCCTTGTCTCAAGGGAACCCAGGCTTAGACAACCATGGAGCTGATGGAAACAGTCATGAAGACATGCAAAGATCTAGCTATTGAGCTAGTCCATTCGGGCTCTTTTATAGGAGAAAATAAAAGTGAATCCACCCAGAAGTCTTGGTTAAACAAATCCTTCCATAGCCATGCAATAATTACTTCCTGGCCACTAAAAACGAATTAAATGTTATAGAAAAGTGTGGAGATGGGGCACCTGGGTGGCTCAGCTGTTGAGCGTCTGCCTTTGGCTCAGCTCGTGATCCCACGGTCCTGGGATCGAGTCCTGCATCAGGCTCCTTGCAGGGAGCCTGCTTCTCCCTCTGCCTCTGTCTCTGCCTCTCTCTGTGTCTTTCATGAAGGAGTAAATAAAATCTTAAAAAAAAAAAAAAAAAAAAGAAGAATAAAGAAAAGTGTGGGGAGGACAGTCCCGGCAAAGTGATGTGAAAAAGATTGTTAAAATATACTATACGTATTTAGTATAGCTGCAGTATTTTCTAAGTACATGCATTTGCCAAAATAGTAACTGTGGTTATTTCTGGGGAATATGACTACCAGACTTTTATATTCCCGTGTGTGTGTGTGTGCACCTCTGTATTTTTCTAATTTCTGTCATAAGCATGTATTATTTTTGTAATTAGCACACACCGTTTAACAACCAATAAATGCAACAACAATGAAGAGACGGACACCTAAGCAATATGATTTGTATGAATTTATTAATGTTTTCAGTTGTGAAAAACATCAGAGAAAATACACTTGTGAGACACTGGGCTTTTCTCAAATTGAGATCCATTTGGCACAAGCCACGATTATCCTCTTGAACACATCACTCATCAATTCTGTACATCATTCTTTTTCCGTAAATCAGAAATCACTGTTCTCAAAAGACCCTCTGGCATTTATTTATTTCATGGACTAGGCACTATGTCCTAAGGGAATAAACGTCTCCTTCTTTAAATTCACAAAGTGACATCTGTGAAGCATACTTAGGACCTGCCGTCTCTGGTGAGGGAATTGATCACAAGTCTACAGAAGCCAGATGATGATGTTAGAACCATGCTTCCAGGTGGGGGCTTGGGGTGGAGCACTTCTGAAACCTGTGCCCCCAAACAGGCCTCACTTCCAAGTAAAAAAAGTAATGCAAAGTGCAGGACGGACCCGTCTAACCCTCTTGGCAAGTCCTTTGAAGGATGACAAGTGTAGTCCAGATTAAACATACTAGAGGGGCCAGAAAACATTCCAGTGTCTCTACCTGTTAGGGCGTGATCAGCAATTAGATTGTTTTTATTTTAAAAAACACTCTGGGGCATCTCACTCAGAGCTAAGTGTTTCTCTAATAAGCAGAACAGGAATTTAACATCGCCTCTGGTTGCAACCCCAGGCCACGTCATTTCCCACCCACTTGTCAGTGTGCCTTGGATTTGTGAGATTTCTTAACCCGTCCTTTTTTCCCAAAGCACTTCCGGCAGCCAAAGGCGCAACATTTGTAAGTGATGAAGACAACCCCCAGCACCACGGCCAGGAGGAAGCCGATCACGTCCAAAGAGTGGTACTGGTACCAGGTGAGGTCGTGGGCTGCGGGTCGCAGGTGGGGAGCCCCCTTGTGCCTCATGACGAACTCCACCCAGAACACAGCCAGGTCCAGGGGCTCGATGGGGCGGTCCTTGTGCAGCCTGGAGAGGTGCATGATGTTCTCCTTATAGCTAAACACAAAGACGGTTGTGTGAATGTCTGGAATGGTGGTCTCAGAGGAACACCCTCCCTTTAGGCTTGCTGTGGTTAAGCAGGCCACCAGATTTTGCAAACTTGGTAGAGGAAATGTGTTTCCATTATAGACAGAAAAGAAACACACACACATGCATGTACACACACACACATGCTAAATGGTCTTCACCTCTGAAATTTTAAAAAAAAAATGTAGAAAGAAAACTGGAAGCCAAAATTATAATATTAAATTATTTGAACCTTGCTTCCTTTCCTCTTCTTTCTTTTTTCTTGGTATTTTTGTAGGAAATTAGATACTTTCTTTACAGTAAGAGAAAGAAATAAAAGAAAAGGTCGTGTCAGAAATTAGTGAGTTTTCCTTTCACGGTTTTAAACACTCACATCTAGTCAAAGCAAAAGCGATTTCTAAGTGCCATCTCCAAGGTGGTGGCATACGTGGCTTTGGTGACACCTCACACCATCCAAGTACTAACTTTAGCGGGAGGCTGTGTCTACGCAGCCTGTTCAACAAGACAGATTTTTGTTGATTTTGGACAGTGTTGACAGCTGCATCGGAACATCCAAATCCAAACTGGATTGGATGCTTTGACTCTTAGTAGGGGCGCACTAGGAAAAGAAAAAGAAGGAGGAGGAGAGGGATTAAAAGGAAAAGGAGAAGACCAAAGTAAGACACTCTTATTCAGGAGAAATTGTAACTGCTGTCTTTAAACAAACCTGTCATTATAGTTCAAAACATTATTTTATGTGATAATAATATTTGGCCATAAGTCACATTAAACATCTTCCTTTCATAGAAATCTTCTCTTAAACAAGAGAGATTTTCTAGAACTTTTATTCCTTCATCCACTATTCATTGAGCACCTGTTATGGCCTGGTTGCATCACCTGATGTTCGAAATCTTTCCATTTGTCTTCGTTTTATGCCCCAGTTTGGAGTGTTGGGAACATGGAGATTCACAACTAGGCAGAGATGACTCCCAGGCAAATAAATGAAGTCTGCTGGTAACGTAAGCTGGTTGATGAATGTTTTTTAAAAAAATAAGAGAACTTTTACCAGGTCATTTTTAGGTTCCAGGTAGTCATCAATACCACTCGACAGAAGATCAAAATTGTGCTACTAATATGAACCTCCGGAAGGAGTTTTGTCAGCACATGGAGAGAAGTCAGGTTTTCACTGCATGGACTTAGGAGCAGCGTGGCCTGACGCCAACCTGGGCTGCCAGGAGACGCCCATCAGAATGGAGGGATGCCACCCGCTGCTCTGGGTGCTCTGGGCATTTACCCCAGGGGTTCTGTGGACTTTTCTTTCTCATCCATTGGCACCACATCCGTGAGCACCCCATGTCCCCCCCCCATTTCTCCTTGCTCAGGTTCACTGTGTCACCCTGTGCAATGTCTCCTCCCATCTGAACACACTGCAGCCTTTTCACATCTGTCCTTCTGACTGATGTCTCTTTCAAAATGAAGCAACTATGGGTGAAGACTCCTGACACTCGTAGACACACACACATGCACAGGCATTCACACGTGCATGCACATGCATGCGTGTACACACATTATTAATTGTTGGAAGAAGTCTAGCCCGGGCCATCACTTCTTCCCGGAAGGTCTTGGCCAGCCTCTTACTAGTGAACTTGACAGCAATGTGATAAATTTCATGTGCAGAGATCATCTGATCTGATGGCTTTTGCCTCTTGAATTGTTTTCAGAGTCACATTTGAGCAAACTTATCTTTACCTTTATTATAAGGGTTTGTCTGTGATATCCACAAGACCCCACCCCGATTTAGAAATCCCCATGAACAAAATTTCTCACGGGCTTCAGTGGTAGGGAGAGCTGCACTTCGAAGCACCTGGTTTATTTTTTATCTTATGGACACTGTGCTTCTTGTAAGGAAATATTTCTCTCTTTGCAGGAACTTATAGATCAGATGTCTATCTGGTGACAATATTTTCTTAATAAATTGAAGTTTTAATCCTACCAAGGGAAATAGTATTTAAAATCATTTCACTGGTAAGTCCCATAGTAATTAAAATATCCTTTTATGAATTGAACAATAACAATCCCCAAATCATCTTACTTATAAATTCGGTTTTTATGTACTTGTTTTCACATTTGAATATTTGTTGCGAATGAGATGGGCAAAATATGGGTAGTATTCCTCTGTATCTTTTCTCTTACCTTTTGTCAGTGATGACAGCTTTTAGGGCATTTGCCAAATCTTCAGAAGTCATTTCCAGGACATTCAAGGTCACTCCAGCCCCCCGAGTCTCCATGCGCTTCGCATTGTCCATCTGATCACCAAACAAGGGCAGCATCACCATTGGAACACCGTTGCATATTCCCTCATATATGCCGTGAGAGCCAGAATGAGTGATAAAGGCGCGAGCCTTCGGGTGACCTGAGAGGCAAAGCAGGGAGGGATGAGAGTGGTCAAGTCACCGAGTGTCACGGTCTGACACCATCTAGGTTCTGAAAGCACTCTAAGGACCCAGTGCCACCCACGCGTGGCTCCTGCAGAAGTCTGCAGAGGAGAATGTGGGCTCAGATGCCCCACTGGGTAAAAAGCTATGTAGGATACTTTGGCCATAATAGTTTCCAGCTAAACAGTCCTTGAGAACATCCATAGGCAAGCCACTTTCTTAATTTCACTTGGGTTTGACCTATGCACCAAATCCTGCCCACATACCAAGCAGATCATTCTGGGGCAGCCACTTGACAAGTATTGTATTCTTTGAAAGATTTGGTGGTGGAGTGCCAGTATAACGCCACAGGACCTTGAAGAGACAAAAACAGAATTTAAAGAACACAATAATTCAAAAACATCTGCCGTGATAGTGATAGCTAGAATGTGGAGTCCTCTGAATGAACATAAACTGGGCAAGGGTGGAAGGTGTAGCAACTGCGAAGGCTTCTGAGGACTGGTAACATTCTGTGTATTTGTGCAAATTCATCAAGCTGTACGTTTATGATTTTTGTGATTTTTCTGCACTTCAAGGGGAAGTTTACTTAATAAGGTAAATGGATGTAGAATTACAGAAGCAGAAATATAAGAAATGAATCCAGTGTCCTGACCAGTAGCTTTTTGCAGAAGTACTCCTTTGTAATACAAAGAAACACTATCCTGTTCACTATCCTATTCATTTTATCTTTAAAATAAATTCCCCTTGGAGGGGCCTGGCTAGCTCAGTCAGTAGAGCATGCAGCTCTTGATCTCAGGATCGTAAATTCAAGCTCCAGACTGGGTATAGAGACAGCTTAAAAAAAATAAAATCTTTAAAAATAAATCAATGAAATGAAATGAAATGAATTCTCCTTAGTACACTTTTGAATTTCTTAGAGAAAATAAGACCTCCAAGTGAAGTAGACAAGTTTCACAGAGTAGTTGAGAGTGACACGGCAAAAAGAACTTTAGATTAATAATTGAGAAGTGGCAGGGAAACCTAAAGTCCAACTAGTAGGATTTAGCATTGATACTAGAAGTCTGGTGTTCCAACCCTTGTGAAGATAGAATCATATGGAAGCTTCTTACCGTCTGAGGTATTTTGCCCAAAGCATCAGCAATCTCCATAGCTTTCTTCTCAGGAATATCTGATACCATGGAGCCCAAAGAGAAAACCACAATTCCATGTTCTCCAGAAGCATTAACATAGGCTTCAAATTCCTAGAAGCATAAGAGAAATTTCCAGTTAAGTTTTTTCTCCTCTTCTTTGGGAACTGCATACATTCAGCTATAAATCAGATCTCTTCATCTTAAGAATGTGATTAAAGGGGTGTGTGTGTGTGTGTGTTAGAGGCATAAAATATTAGTTCATAATACACCCTTCCTTACTTCCTTCCAAAGGGGGAAGGCTTCTTGCATATTGGGTTGTCTCCTGGCTCCTTCTTTGAGACTCAGAATCCAGGTAGCAGGCTAATTTTCCAAGGAAAAGCAAACAGAGATAAAACCAGATCCACTTCTCAGGGGCTTCAAGCTGCTGGGAGGGTCTTGGGATAAAGCAGGCTTTCGGGGAGACTAAAGGAGAGAGCAGAAGGTAGTACAGAAGGAAGGGGGAAAGATGAATGAGCATCACAGAGAAGGGAGAGTGCTGTTTAGCAGATCGATGAAGAGAGACCCTGAGAGAGAGGAAAGGTGTCCAAGGAGGATTTCAGAAAGCTTTCTGCAGACTCTAAAACTCTTGCACTGCCCATTTAGGAAAATCTATAGTAAAGATGTGTATTCCTTTCCAAGGCTTCTGGAATATTCCTTTTACGTGGAAAGAATAGATGGAGCCTAAGCAGAAAGCTGCAAATAATGTTGTGGATGAGGCTCAAGGTTAAGGAGAAAACTCAAAATAGCCAAGACAGCCTGTAACAATTCTTGCTTCCCCACAGCCTATAGCAGAGTCTTTCATATGGCAGCCAATACATTGGGGTGATTAGGGATCATATTCATCTCAACTCAGTGCTGAAACTTAACCAGTCAACCTGGAAATTTCCTACCTTTCCTGGAGAAGAGCTTTCTGAAGAGTGTATGTCAACTTGCCTGCCTTAGCAAGAACATGCAGAAAGATAACTGAATCTTTCTTTGCTGGCTTCATAATGCACTGCAGAAAGCAAAATATTTCTCCCTAGGTATAAGAGATATAAAACTGGACCGAAAACCTTGCCAAGGGTGCTCCAGGATCTGAGCCCCTTCTGCAGAGCTCAGAGAGGGGACAAAGGGCACACGAGCAAACCCTGAGTACCAAAGCCACCAGTGGGAAGGATAAACGCAAGCAGTGAGTCTCAACCCACCCAGCACATGATCCCCACAGAATATTCCTGTCCCATTCCAGAAGCTGATCCCCTCTAGCAATATACCCATCAGCATCACCAAAGGAAGATTGCAAGTATGAGGCCACTCTGACTCCTCCAACCAAGACCACCATTGGGCATTATAGCTTTGGCTAGGTAAGCTCAAGACAAAGCAATGGGACTTGTTTCTGAAGAAACTTCTGGGCCAGATGACCCAAGAAATAAGGAACGAACTGTGAGTGCTTTTCTACTCAATAATGAAACAACTACTAGAAAATGGACAATCCGTGTTTCCCTTGGATGAAGCAGGAGGATGGGATCTTTGGAAGTGTCTGTTTATAAGGCTGAGAGATAGTGATGGCAGGGACCCCACTAGTAAGTACAGATCACAGATTATGACCTATCAAGCCTCTACCCCTAAAGTAATGAGGAATAGACGTTAGAGATGGATGTCGGACAAAAGCTCTGAGAGGAAGCAACAAAAAGATAATGCAATTAGAAGAACAGCAGCATTAGCTGCAGTGTAGAAACAGGGGAATCTGAAGGCAAAAGTGGTGGCTGTGTCCCCAGGAAGAGAGGAAGGAAGCCGCCAGACTCAACCCTCAGCAATAATCTCAGCCCAGCCTGATCTGGCCTTCAAAGCCAACTCCAGAATACTATGGTCTTCAGGAAACATACATACACACTCACACATACACACACAGGCACACGCTGGCATGCACACACAGAGTGGCAATTCCACGCAGAGGAAATAGAGCATGGTGTGAGTGTGGCAATTTTCCCCCAACTGTAGGGGGAAATGTTAATGATCTAATTATCTCCCCTAGAGTCTCCCAAATGGTTTTATACGTTTCCCAAGAATGCCAAGGACATTCATGGGACTGTGGGATGTGGTGAGGTTTGCCCAGAACGGAGCAGTTTCCTGAGATATGAGACTTTCAGTCCTGTTCAAACCAGAACGCTGGCCACCCCGGGTGTGACATGCAGAGGACTTCCCCCAGGGCTCAGCACACATGATTTTAAGAGACTTCTTTTAAGTTTGGTTCAGAGCATGACCAGCAGAGCCCAAATACGGCCCAGCCCTCTTCAGGAATGAGTGCCCTGCCTGGTCCACTCCCACCAGCTCTCTTCGAGGCCTTCTGGCTCCCAGCAGCTGTGTCCCAGCCTTCTCCACTGGGCTCGTCTGAAAGGTCAGGGCAGCCAGCAGCATCCTCCCCATCACCACACTGCATTTTTGGTCTATGGCAAAAATATCCTAAGGAAGGTTTTTCTGAAGTCTTTCCTCCCTGGGATTCCACACCACATCCTTCTCTCCCGCGAAAGGACAGCTCATCTCCAAGTACCTTTTGAGTTCTTTCTCCTGAGTGAAGGTAAACAGCTTACCTCACTTCCTAGGACCTTCCCTCCTTCATGAAACCCACTCTAACTTTTACCATGTCTACAAAGCATCACGTCTGATTTCCCCTCCTTGCACATTCTCCCACACCCAGTCAGCACCCAGCAGGGTGTGATTATCATAAAATGAAACCCACAGGTCAATAAATACCCAAAGTTACATGGCAAGATTAAAGTTTAAATGTCATGAAAGTTCATCTACAGATTACAGGAGGGCAAACTGCAGAGACTGTGTTGTCATAGCCAATGCCTCTTCTGGTATTCAATAACAGTGAAGTCCACACTCTACTTGGCACAATGTCCCTAAACCTGGCCCTGACTTCACAGACTCTAGAGTAGCCAAAGAGTGAAGCGATAGGTTAATGCCCTCGATTCCCCCACCTCTTATGCCCTTCCAAAAAGAACAAGGCCTCCCCTCTGAAGTGAAAGCACTTGCCCACCCCATTGAAACCTTTAACACAGGTCCTAACTTTTGCTGAGAATTTAGTATTTTGAGTTCCAGGCTTTTATTAGATTTTCTCTTCCCAAATGTCTTTTGTTTTTCAAAATCCTTGGTAAGCACTTAGCATGTTGGAAAACTATTGCTTTATTACTACACATTTAGAGCCACCAACAAAGACTGCAAGCTTCCCTGCTCACCAGACTTTCTTCTCCTCACCATCATCAAGTCAAGATGATATCCATCTCCAAATCCCCGCATGTCCACCAAGCTGGTATCTCACCCTGAGCAGAGAAGGACAACTTGGAGTTCCCGAGTTTCATTCCTTTGCTTTCAATGTTATTCTATCTTTTGTCTGTCAGGCATCCCAGACACGCCCCACACCAGGTGTGCTTTCCATATGGACTCTCCTTATTAACTAACTATTGTATCTCTATTCTTGAAGTTCAGGATTTTGACCAAGAGCATTGGGACCAGGCTGGTCTCCACTAGAAGAACGGAAGTATAGAAGAGCATTTATTTATTTTTTAATAAATTTATTTTTTATTGGTGTTCAATTTGCCAACATATAGAATAACACCCAGTGCTCATCCCATCAAGTGCCCCCGTCAGTGTCCGTCACCCAGTCACCCCCACCCCCCGCCCACCTCCCCTTCCATCACCCCTGGTTCGTTTCCCAGAGTTAGGAGTCTCTCATACATTTAAAAAAGGGGACAAAAGAAGATAATCAACCACTAGCCAAAACAGCAAAAATTAGGAAAAGGGAAAATGGCCAAGTAAAATAAAAATAAACTGGAAAAGTTAGAATCAAATTCCTGAATTGTTAAAGTAATTGCAAACAGGCAAAATTCTCCCAAGGTTAAAAATATCAACTCCAAAAAAAAAAAAAAAAATAATATATATATATATATATATATATATATATATATATATATCAACTCCATGTTGTTTAAAAAAAAAAAAAAAAAAGCTTGAAGACAAAAGGGTACCAAAGAGGCACTAGGGAAATGTAAACAAGATAGTGCAGGAATGGTAATGTTAATATAAAAAAAAGTGGAATTTCAAATTAAAAATATTAAGTAGGGCAAAGAGGGTTATTGTCCAGTAAGGTTTGTAAAGACATTCCCACTCCCAGGCTTGCTTGCACCAAGTAAGGCAGCAACCAATACATAGCCATGACAACTCACCACTTAGACAAATTCCAGGGGGGGAATATATTAATAAATCATGCCAAAACTATAAAATTGAGGAAGACCATTGATAAAGTTCTGTAGTCCCTCCCAGTAAGTAAACTAAAATAAAGAAGAAAATCATGGAAATAAATGAAGACTACTTGCCAAAAAACAATGGCAAACATAATACAAAATGATGAAATGAAAATCAATCTTTTTTTTTAAGATTTTATTTATTTATTCATGAGAGACACAGAGAGAGAGGCAGAGACACAGGCAGAGGGAGAAGCAGGCTCCTCGCAGGGAGCCCGACACAGACCCAGGATCACGCCCTGAGCTGAAGGTAGATGCTCAACTGCTGAGCTACCCAGGTGTCCCAAAAATCAATCTTCATTACAATCAGGAGCAAGACAAAAATCCTTGCGACTGCCAAAATTATTCAATTGTTTTTAGAGATTCCAGTGACTTCAATAAGACCAATACCTGGCATGGAGTTTAGAACAGAAGAAACCATATTTTTTTTATGGATGAAAGTCTACATGCTAATTTGTTTTTTTTTTTATTTTTATTTTTTTTAAAAATCCCTTGGTCAAGCATATTCTTTTTTTTTTTTTTTTTTTTTTTTTTTTTTTTATGATAGTCACACAGAGAGAGAGAGAGAGGCAGAGACACAGGCAGAGGGAGAAGCAGGCTCCATGCACCGGGAGCCCGACGTGGGATTCGATCCTGGGTCTCCAGGATCGCGCCCTGGGCCAAAGGCAGGCGCCAAAGCGCTGCGCCACCCAGGGATCCCTAATTTGGTTTTTTTAAAAGGTTGAAATCAATATTTTGATTAGGCCAAATTTTGATTTGGGACTGAATAGGGAGAAGATAACCAGCTACGAACAGAAATGGGAATCTATCACATTCACATTAGTAACAAAAAGAAAAAAGTGTAAAATACTTAAGAAAAACCAAACAAGAAAGGAACAGAACAAATATGAAGAAAACTACAAAGGACTTAACCTCTGATAAGGTAATATTTGAAGTAATAACAAGAAGAGCAAGACCCGGTACACAAAGTTCAGTGCTCTTCCCAGGGAACTAGATCATGTGGCTAAGAGAATGCCCTGTGGCACATAAATGCCATGCAACATGGAACAGTTAAAAAAATAGATATAATATTTAGAACCGAAACCATATCCATGACATATTGATAGGTGAGCAATGGGGATATATTATTACCTTTTTTTGTAAAGCAAACAGCAAAAACTTCTATACAATTACATGTTGTAAAAGTATAAGGCGATTGTAATTGTAAAAGGTGATCACCGCCTATCTGGTGACTAGCCCTCAGTTCATACCCTTTTGTGGTTTTTGTTCATTCCTTTAACAAATATTTGGTAAGTACCGATTATATGCCCAAGACGCTGACGTTTCCGAGGCACCAATCACGTGCAGACCCATCGCCGGGCCTTAAGGGTGAAGCAACAGGCAGCAGTGGTCCCTGGCCCCACATCTATGAAAGAGACGGTCAATAAACAATGATCTAAATGAGATGATCACAGTATGTGCTAGGAAGGTGCTAGGAAGGAAAGAGCACAGGATCCTATCTTAGAGAGGACTCCCTGAGGAAGTGACATTGCAGCTGATCTGGAAAATAAGAAGATAGCCACCTCACAAATTCAGGCACAGCATCTCAGAAGGATGGAACATCAAGGGTCCTGAACTGGGAAACAGTTTGGAATGTCCCAGGAATAGAAACAAGGCCAATGTCGCCGAGGGTATCGTGCCGATTTATAAGCAAGCCCTCCTATTTCGAATGGAATTTCTATCATGCGTGCACATCTCCAAAGTTTTAAATTTCAAAGTAAATATGAAATACAATTGTTTTCACTTGGATCCTATAATAATGACGCCAAAAAGTATTTCTCTTTAATTCCACTCTAAGTGGGACATGCTGACTAGATCTCTTTCCTTTGATCTATGATGTGATCACTGGTTTGGTAATATTTCACCTTCTCCTACATTGGAAAGATAATTATTACTGGTATTCTATAATGTGAGGTTCTCTCATTTGGCTTTCTAAAAAATCAACACCATCTCCTTTCTTAACCTGATCACTCCAATCACCCCATCAGACACATACTTCTCCAACAGGCCGTGGATTATCAGAATCTTATTGGTGGGAGATCTGCTGGGGTCACTAGCTCTCTCTTCACATTATGGGGGAGGAATCAGAGCCCCACAAAGGGGATCTAGTCATGCGGTAATGGGGTGGAAGCACCCACACAACACTGGATTTCTCACAGGGTGTTTTTCCTGCCCTTCAAAGTTTCTCCTTGCCATGGCAATGACATGATCATTTAAAATGTGAATCACATTGGAGTCACTCTGGGAATAAGATTCAGTACTCTCTGAGGGTGATGACAATCCCTTAGTAGGAGCCAGACTCAGCACCTGCAAAGTGCCTAGGCTACCAGTGGATCCTCAACTGATATTTGAAAAATAAATGAATGAATGCCCACTGATATGTCACCTCCTTGGAGAATCCTTTCCAACTCCCCATCTGACAGAGATCCTCCTGTTATTCTCTATTCCCTCCATTGCGACTCGGAAGCGGATGTGAATGCTACTTTTTTGCATATCTCAAATTCTGTATGGGAAAAACTTAACTTAAAAGCATTGCAGGGGGATCCCTGGGTGGTGCAGCAGTTTAGCACCTGCCTTTGGCCCAGGGCGCGATCCTGGAGACCCAGGATCAAATCCCACATCGGGCTCCCGGTGCATGGAGCCTGCTTCTCCCTCTGCCTATGTCTCTGCCTCTCTCTCTCTCTGTGTGTGTGTGTGTGTGTGAGACTATCATAAATAAATAAATAAAATTAAAAAAAAAGCATTGCAGGGAATGAAACTCAGGACCTTTCTGCCCAATGCCAGAATCTGACTGTCTAATGTTTGCTTATTAGAAAAGATCATAGAAGCCAGCTTCCTATCAGAATATCTAGCAACTGCATCTTTAACCAGAAACATAAAGGTTACTTTCCCCACCAGGACCCATAGATGTCGAAGAATTATTTCAGCAATCTTGACCCTTGTGTGCCTGACCCAATCAAGCGTAAGGTGCATACTACAGATTTGTGTTCTCTGCAAGGATCCCTACAATCATTGTTCTGTGCTTATGGCAATTATCCTTTGCTTCATCTAACTGATTACTATTCACTGGAACACACAGAATAAAATGCCCAAAGTATACTTTCCTAAAGTGTCCTATACAAAGAAATAAACCCAGAAGAGGATGCCAAAGACAGATATAGGGACACCTAGGTGGCTCAGTGGTTGAGCGTCTGCCTTCGGTTCAGGGCGTGATCCCAGAATCCCAGGATTGAGTCCTACATCGGGCTCCCTGTGGGGAGCCTGCTTTTCCTTCTGCCTGTGTCTCTGTCTCTCTCTCTGTATGTCTCATGAATAAATAAATAAAATCTTTTTTTTAAAAAAAAGGATATAAATTACAACCCAGACTCGGGAGATTTGTAATGTAGAAACTAACGAAAGAGGGCATTTGAGACTAGTTCAGCATGTATCGGGGGCAGGTTCATCCATCCAAAGTACTTGCGAGGATACAGGCTTGTAAAGTTCCCCCTCAAATACACACCTTGGATAGTGGGTTTTTGCTGGCACAGTTGATCCCACCAACAAAAACCATGCTGGGCATGATGGGCCTGGAGTAATCCTTGACAAAGTCACCTTTGAGAAGCCAGATGGATGCAGAGCCCATAAGTTCCTGGACTGTCACATCTTTCTGAAGGACTTCCGAGGCAAGTGGTTCATATGGGGAATAAACCACATTGCACAGAAAGCTCTCGGACAAGAAAATGAGCATGTTCTTCACCCGCTGCAGGAAGGTCATGTGATCTGAGTTAAGGGAGAGAGCCCGGGCACATAGGATGGTGGGTTGGGGCACTGGGTACCTTGAAAATCTAGGCTGCATGGCAGTGTGTGCAAGAAGAACACAGCGGGGAGGGCCAGGTACAGGGCCACGATGGGACCGCAAGGAAGGAAGGGGTCCGTCAACACAGCATCGAAGCTGCTCTCTGCCAGCGAGGCCATCAGCTCCTTGTTATGCAGTAAATGGGAGCAAGCAGACAAAAGCAGAGCCGAGTCCTCCTTGACCTTCTTGTACGTTTTGATCACACGCCGCACCAAAGGCACATTCTCAAAAACACCGCGCCCGAGGCTGATAAAAGTGGCTTCCACGTCCTCCCTTCGGAATGGCACAGGGTACCTCTTCAGGGTGTAAAATGCTGCTCCTTTGATGTACACAGAGGCCTCGGGAGCTATCACCACTACCTCATGTCCCCTCTGGTGCAACTGCTTGACGACCCCGAGCATGCTCAGCCAGTGGCTGCCATCCACGGGGACCAACAGCAGCTTCCCGCCCTGGGACACGGTGGCGCTCAAGGCGCACAGCAGCAGGCCCAGGACCAGCGGACGTGGCCCCGGAGCCCCTGCTGCCATGGTGCCTTTGTCTTTGCTACCAAGACTCTCTCCTACCAAGAGTTTGCCCTCTCCTACTTCGTGTTGCAAGAACCAATCCATACTCAAAGTTAATGGTTGATCGTGTCACATGACCGTAGTTATTCGCCAGCTGAAGATAAGTAGGAAGTTCACCTTTAGAGCTAGCTAACCAGGGCAGAGCTTTACTAGGTTTCTTTTTTTTTTTTTTGTCCCCCAAGTATTTTTATGTTTTATTTATTTACTCTGAAGTTTTTAACTCCAGCTAGTTTAACACACAGTGTAATATTAGTTGCAGGTGTACAGTAGGATGATTCACCACTCCCGTACATCACTCGGTGCGCATCCCGACAAGCGTACTAGCTTTCTTGACAGGCAACCACAGTTTAACTGGGGGGAATTCTTTACCAACCACTGAAATCACATTCTTGATGGACCAGAGAAGGGAAACAGCTCTAGCACCTTTGAATGCATGAAATGAGTATTTCCATGGACCAAGAGGGGAGAAAAAAGGGCTATGTGGTGATAAAGTTGACTTCTTTTTCAGGATATGAAATAGAAAGCAGAATATACCGTTTAGAAAGCGAACAACATGCCGCTGTAAGCCTACTTTTGGCCCATGACAGCCTTGCAGGATGTCCTTCTCCACCGGTCGCCACCAAGGACTCTGCCCAACGCTGCATCATTTTAATGCACTCGTCCAACAAAATACTTATTTAAATGGCACCGGGCCTGGGGATGCCAGCAAAGACTGCCACAGATGAGCCTCCCACCTCCCCAGAACTCAAGCTCCATCAGAAGACAGACTGACAATGTAAACAGATAAACAGGCGTGTCAGAGGCTGTGGAACATGCCAAGAAGGAGATGAATGCTGCTGGCTAGTAAATTGCGGGAAGGGAACCCCACTTGAGCACGCATGCACAGAAGGCCTCTCGCAGGACAGGTGCATTCTCTTAGGCAACAGGGAGAGCAGACACTCTGAGAAATTCTGATGACCCAGTTGAAGCAAAGGGGAAAAGTGAACAAAACCAATAAGAACATATATGTCCTGAGTATGTCCTAGGAGCCAAGCATGGTGCTAAGCGCTTTACAACACACCTTATGGAATCCCCTAAAGGCAGATAACGTTATTCCCACATTACAAAGGAAGACACTGAGGCTCAGAGAGACAATAAGACCTGCCAGAGTCCTGCATTTACTAAGTGACAGAGCCAAGATGCAGGCCCTAAGTATCAGAGCGTGATGACCCTGCTCTTGACCACAATTCCCCATGGCCTCTAGCAGTATCCAGCTCTTGTGGCCAGGTTTGAAATTTACAGCCAACTAGGAACCAGAAGTAAAGCAGTGACCCTCACAGTCACTACCCAAACTAAATGGGGAGAGATGGTGGGACTTGGGAACAAGTAGAATGTGCTCACACAGTAATACCCAGCCCTGGCTGGTGCCCCAAAAGATCAAGTGAAGGGCCAGGGAGCGAGTATGGTAGTCACAAATAGGAATACCCCTCCCAAAGAAAAGGCAAATGTGAGCATAGACAGATGAGAGCACAGATCCCAAGATTTTGATCATGGACATCGCTGGCCACCCATATTTGGGGACCTGTTAGGAAGATCATGGAGAAACTGCTAACTTTAAGGTTTTAAGGTCCTGTGACGCATGTTCACAGGGCCTCCTTCATTCTGGTACTGAGAGTCCCTTTTCCCCATACCACCCCTTCCTCCACAAACCTCCAGTCTTGTATGTACTTATATATGGATGCACGCACACACGCATGCTCAAACACACATGCACTCTGAAGCTCCCCACCCACATGCACCCCCTCTCCACTCTAAGCATGTTCCATTCTCCTGGACTAAGATTCTGGGTGGGTAGAAAAAGAGGCAGCAATGCTTTGACTCACTGGTATGCCCCTATCTGCAATTCTGAAATTCATAGTCCAGTTTAAACATTAAGGGCAATAATTCTTCTGAATTCTCAATGTCATAAGAGTTCATCTGTAAATTACCCAGAGCAAAAGGGCGGTAAACACACACAATCACCACCACGATGATTTTATGATTTTCCTGTATCACATAGAGCCTCAGGACTTTATGAAGCTTCTGCATACCTGGACGGTTTGGGACATGACTCTGCCCTTACAAAGCAGGCTTTCAGCACAGATGCCAGTCCATGGTTTTGAAGACAGTAAGCACTCAGTAAATGTTTTTGTATCTATAGGACTTCCCTTCTCCTTTGCTGTGGACCCCATATCCAGGCAAGCGAGTGCTTAATCCACTGTCTCTGAAACCCAGCTGCCATAGTCTTGTTTCAGGGCCTCAGACTCCCAGGGCCCCCAACTCCCATCTATCCTTTCTAAGTTCCAGCATCAGCTGTGCCCTGCACTATTCCACCCCATCACCATCCCTGAAGCATTGGTCAACAGCTTCCTAGGACCCAGAATAAGATGTAGCCTTGCCCGCAAAATTCCTTAGAATGGACTTTCAGCCCACCTGTCTGAGCTCATTCCTCCTCTCCAGTCCTTTCACCTCGACCCATCCTTCCAACTTTCCCTCCACTCATTCTGAATCACTTGACCTTCCCCAAACATGCTCTTCCCACGTTGCTTCATTCACGCTAGACCCTACTCCCAATCTGCTTCCGATTACTGTTTATTGCGTGATTATAAGGTGCCAGCTCCAGGATTGAACTCCGTCCCTCAAGGTAACATAAAGTTTGCTCTGGTGACATAGAGTGCCTTACTGAATCTACTACCCTTTATGATGAAATATTACAGAGTTCACCGGTTAATCATTTTCCTCCTAGAACTAAACGATCTTTATTGGTATTGCCTTGCCATATACCAAAGCAAAAAATATAGTGTCAGAGAATAAGGAGAAAGTAGAGAGAGGTCAGATGTCCAAACACACCAAAAAGAAAGATCATGGTATAGCAGTTTTAGTGGAAATAATCACTGCACCCAGGTTGACCCACAGCACTATAAACATGGCCATCAAGTCTTGGTCATTTTGATACACTAGACCAGGAGTTCTCAAACTCTGGGCCAGGATACCCTTGGTATACCCAAGAATTTTTTTAGGGGAATTTTGCAAAGTCAAAACTATTTCCATAGTGATATTTGGCTTTTTCACTCACATGCTCTCTTACAGGTGCATTGGAGTTTCTCGGTGGCCTCATCACCCATGAGAGACTGCAGAAGCAAATAGAAGAATCCCGTTCTCTTGTCTTAAACCACAGAGATGAGGGAAAAAAAACATAATATGATGCCACTCTTCACTGATTTTTTTGTTTTGGAAAAGTGATTTGGGGGCACCTGGGTGGCTTAGTCAACGAAGCACAGGATTCTTGATTCCTGCTGGGGTCATGAGGTCAGAGGCCTGAGACCTAACCCCATGCAGGCTCCACAATCAGAGAGGAGTCTGCTTGGGATTCTTTCCCTCTCCCTCATCGTATACTCTTCCCCCTCCCTTGCTCCCTTGCACATGCACGCTCTCTAAAATAAATCAATACATCTTTTTTTTTGGAAAAAGTTATTTTCCCATAAAAATAGGAGTCCTGTAAGCATGTAATGACTTCACTGCTTTTAAACTGATGGATTTTTCGATTGCTTTCATTTCTAATGGAATAAGAAGTACTGACAGATACAACCTACACTAAAAGAAGAAAGAAAGAAAGAAAGAAAGAAAGAAAGAAAGAAAGAAAGAAAGAGAAAGAAAGAAAGAGAGAGAGAAGAAAGAGAGAGAGAAAGAAAGAAAGAAAGAAAGAAAGAAAGAAAGAAAGAAAGAAGAAAGAAAGAAAGGAAGGAAGAAAGGGCAGCCCCGGTGGCTCAGCGGTTTAGCGCCGCCTTCAGCCCAGGGTGTGATCCTGGACACCCGGGATCGAGTCCCACATCGGGCTCCCCGCATGGAGCCTGCTTCTCTCTCTCTCTCTCTGTATCTCTAATAAATAAATAATCTTAAAAAAAAAAAAAGCAAAAGGGTCCTGAAGCCAAAAACCCAGAGAACTGCTGTTCTGGACAAATGATGGGGCTGTCCAGAAGAAACGCGCCCCCATCACTCTGCCCCCACGGGCTGAGGGTGAGCCTGAGGAAAGCCTGCTTTAGCAAAATCCGTCTCCCTCCATGCCAGGGCCCAGCGCGGGAGCGGGGCCCCAGTCCCTGCTGATTTCCTCTTTTTTCTGCGGGGGATTTGCTGATCGCAGCCCACCCCCCCCATCCCCCACCGCGCGCTAGGGCCGGGTGGGCGGGGCCAGAGAGAAGGCGGGGCCTCAGTGGGCGGGGCGTCCGCGGCCGTGCCAAACACGTGACAGAGAGCCCAGAGGAGCGGCAAGCCTCGCCCGCGGTGCATTCTGGGTAAGGCGTCGACCAATGAGGTGCGGGCCACGTCACAAAGGCGCCCGCCCCAGGTGTCGCCCCGCAGTCGGGCCCGCGCCACGGAGGAGCCGCCGGCGGCGCCGCGTGTCGTGCCGGGGGCCCGCGGGCCGAGCCGGGGGCGGTCCGACATGGTGGACTACTACGAGGTGCTGGGCGTGCCCCGCCGGGCGTCGTCCGAGGCCATCAAGAAGGCGTACCGCAAGCTGGCGCTCAGGTGGCACCCCGACAAAAACCCTGAGAACAAGGAGGAGGCGGAGAGGCGGTTCAAGCAAGTGGCCCAGGCCTACGAGGTGCTGTCGGACGCCCGCAAGAGGGACGTGTACGACCGGTACGGCGAGGCGGGAGTGGAGGGCGGCGGCGGCGGCGGCGGCGGGCCCCGCCACGACCCCTTCGAGTACGTCTTCACCTTCCGCGACCCGGCCGAGGTCTTCAGGGAGTTCTTCGGGGGCCAAGACCCGTTTTCTGCCTTCGACTTCTTCGGAGACCCGCTGGAGAGCGTCGTGGGCGGGCGGAGGAGCTCCCGCGGCGGCGGCGGCGGCGGCGGCGGGACCGTCCCCTTCTTCTCCGCCTTCAGTGAATTTCCAGCATTCGGGGGAGGTTTTTCCTCTTTGGATACGGGATTCAGTTCCCTGGGGAACGGAGGCCTGTCTTCCTTCTCCATGTCCTGCGGTAGCGGCGGGACGGGCAACTTCAGATCCGTGTCGACTTCCACCGAAATCGTTAATGGCAAGAAGATCACCACCAAGAGAACCGTCGAGAATGGCCAAGAACGGGTGGAGGTGGAAGAAGACGGAGAGTTGAAGTCCCTGGTGATAAATGGCAAAGAGCAGTTGCTGCGCCTTGACACCAAGTGATTTCCAGTCCACGTTTCATTTTAGAGCACGTTGTGAGGAATAGCAGGACTTTGGTTTTTTGTTTGGTTTGGTTTGGTTTTGTTGGCTTTTTTTCTTTTCTTTTTTTTTTTTTTTTTTTGGAAGATTGCAAGTGAACTCTACTTTCAGAACAGCGGTACTCAAGAATTTATAAACAGTTCGTGCCAGTGCCTATTTGTCATTGTTGGGACCACACGAATAGGACCTCCGTTTGTCTGTCTCTAAAACGGTTGTAAATACCTGTAGGCACTTTGCTATATATTAAACATAATCCCGAGGCAGACGGTGACTATTTCCTAGTATTAGGACAGAATGTTTCCAGCACCTTGAACCTTGCCTTTCCATCGTGTTTGAAATGGGAGCCAGGTAATTTGCTCTGAAGGTAACTGCCAAGATAAATGGTCTTACTTCAGTTTTTCTTCTCCAATACATGGTGGTAAAAGGTATGAATATAGTAATACTTCTGGCTTCAGGATGGTTTTTAGCCCCACACAAATGCTGGTGACTACTGAGAGTTTTCCGTTGAAATATAATATTAAGCCTACACCTTTTTTAAAAACAGGGAAACCTGGCAAAGTGGGTGTATTCATTTCCTATGGCTCCTGTAACAAATTACCACAGATTCGGTGGCTTAAAACAATGCAGTTTATTCTCGTGATGATCTGGACGTCAGAAGTCTGAAATCTCCATCCAGTGGACTGAAGTCGGTGTAAACAGGAACATGTTCCCTCCAAAGGCTTGGGCAAAATGCTTCAGTGAATCCCTCACGGTTACACGATTAGTTAATAGTATCCTGAGGATTTTATTCAGGTCACTTAAGAAATAAACAGTGGTAGTGATGACTCAAAACAATACAAATCCAGTTGCTAGCCCATACCCAACTTAGTTGTATGACTATTGATGGAAGTGTGGGAAGTGTTTCCCTGAGGCTACACGAAACTATCCCATCACCATGCGCAGGATGTTTCTTGTCTCAAATTAAGTTGACAAAAGCTAAGAATATTGGAAAGCTTGGATTATTGATTGGGTGAGGCAACATACGTCTGAAAGAGTAAATTTCTGTTGGCACAGTTTATACCCACAGTGAAAACCATTTTGGCCATGGTTGCCTTGGGATAGTCCATCACAAAGTGTGCCATCCTCCTTGGTCATGTCTAAGGAGAAGTTTGCATGAGGCATGGGAGCAAAAAAGCAACTGAACTGAACAGACTAAAAATGCAGCATAGTTGTAATTCTTTACAGGAAGGTCATGTGACCTGAGCACAGCAATAACTAGGAATGTATGATGTTGAGTTTGGTCCCGGTAGAGACCAGTCCCTGTGGAATGGCATGTGAACAATTCACAGCAGGAACATAGGATTCAGCCACTACTGCCCCACAGGGTACACAGTCTGTTAAAACTACATCAAATGGTCACCGAGGTACCCAGGCAGTGCTTCCCGCCCACTAACTATACAAGAAGTAACATTAAAACAGACTACACCAGAGCTTTTAAAAAATGAGTTCATTTGCTTGCCAGGCTAGGGAACTCATACCAGTGAAGATACTCAAGAGTTGTTGGTGGAGAGGGAAGGAGGAGCAGGGAGAGATGTCAAGAGTTTTGAAGTCATAGAAAAGGGTGCACATTTTCATGATGGTTATGCCAATTAAGGGTTAAAAAATGCCACTTTGTATAGGACAGACCAAGTGCATTTGTGCCTATACAATCAGTTAACATGTCTCTATTGGTCAGAAAAGTCTTTAGTTGGGTCCAGTAAGAGTGGCAATCAGGGGCTACTCACAGGTCATGGACTTAACGGCTCTAGTGGAAGCAACCCACGAGTCAGTGGATGACTGTATAAGCAAAATGTGCTCAATTCTTATGATGGAATATTATTCAGCCTTAAAAAGTAAGGAAATTCTGACACGCTGCAACATGAATGCGCCTTGAGGATATTAGGTGAAGTGAAATAAGTCAGTTGAAAAAAGACAAATACTATATGATTCCATTTATATAAGGTACCTATAGTGGTCAAGTTCATGAAGACAAAGTAGAATGGTGGTTGCCAGGGGTTTCAACAGCATTTGTTGAAGGCACACAACATTTAGTTATAGATCTGGATTAGTGCTGCTAAATGAAAAGTTTCCCTTTTACATAAATGTAAAATACTTAAAGAATTTTCAAAACTGAAAACCTCTTTTAAAAAATGTCAGCGCCAAAATCACTGTCCTGTATACCACTCAGTATTCCTTATCTATGGAAAGACCAGAGTAGGGTAAACAGGGTAGAGAAAACAGCACTTTGTCTGGTACAGAGATGACCATCTCAAGGACCCTGTAGTGGATTCTCTACAAGGACTCACAAGCACCATCCCATGGAGCACACCAGTTAAATAAGGAAGTACTTTAAGAAATTTTAATAATTGGGCATATTGAGGTTTTTTAAATAGAAAAATTTTAAACACACATTTTTAAGTGTATCTATGGAACATTTACAAATGTTAATCACATCTTGCCCAAAATAATAGCCACTAGCTACATGTGACTACTGAGCACTTGAAATGTGGCCATTCCAAATTGAGGTAGGCTATAAGTGTAAAATACCAGATTTTGAAGACTTAGTATGAAGACAAAAGAATGTAAAATATCTCATTAATAATTTTATATTTAGTATGTTGAAAGTATGTTTATACATATTTGATGAAATGAAGTATAATTTTAACCCTCATTTTGCCTTTTTCATAACATGCCTACTAATTTTTTTAAGCTATATATGTGGCCTGCATTATTCTTCCATTAGGCAATTTTGACCACAAAGAAAACCTATCAAATTATTTAACATAGGGACTTCATAAGAAATATTATCTAATTAAAATCTAAGATGATTAGAAAAAAATAAGAGAAAGAGAGCTAAAATAAATCTTAACTATATGGGAATAAACAGCTTTGAAGACAGCCATGGACTTAAAGAGGAAACCCAAACCAGAAAATTAAATGAGCAAAAACAAAACAAAACGTATGAATAATTTATGCCAAAACCTACAAGACATAGAATATGTTCTGTTACCTTCAATGCTTCATTATTAAGAAAATGCTAACAGAAAGTAACTTAATGTTTACCTAAGGAAAATTAGAAAAATAACTATAAAATAAACCAAAAGACAAGACTGACCATTATTAATAAAAAGCAAGCTGGCATTAATGAAATAGAAAAAAATAGTAAAAAAAAAATAATAAGCAATTCCCAAAATTATTTCTTTGAGAAAACCAATAAAATAAGTTCACCCATCATAAGTCTTTTTAAGTAGACTCCATGCCCAGCGTAGAGCCCAGTGTGGGGCCTGAACTCAGAACCCTGACATCAAGACCTGAGCTGAGCTCAAGAGTTGGGTGCTTGGCACCTGGGTGGCTCAATCAGTTAATTGTCTGCCTTCAGCTCAGGTCATGATCCCAGGACCCTAGGAGCCCCACATTGGGCTCCCTGCTCAGCAAGGAGCCTGCTTCTCTCTCTCCCTCTGCCTACTGCTCCCCCTGCTTGTACTCTCTCTCTCTCTCTGTCAAATAAATAAATAAAATCTTAAAAAAAAAAAAGTCGAGTGCTTAACTGACTGAGCCACCCTGTGCCCCTCACCCATCATAAATCTTAAAGAAGAAAGGAGCAAAAATATGAAAGACTTACATATTGATCTTTCATACTTGGAAAAAGTTTCCATAAACTAGTTAAAGAAGTCACATCTCAGGGTAAACCAAACCAAACCAGAGTGACAAGATCTCAAAGTAAAAAAGGAATTTAGTGGAACAAAAGTGGGAACAGTGCACCTATCACATAAAACACTTGAGAATTTCAGTGTAAATTATCTTTCATGTACCAAAGAAATTGGCACAAACATCTAAAGGTCTTCAGATGACATACTTTGTCCTGCTGGGCACCTTTTAAATAATGATAATAGAAAATATTTATTGTGTGCTCATTGTGACAATAGTGAGGCTGCCCACCAGCCCATTCAGCTAGAAAAATGGGAGGAAAAATTTGAACCAGTGTGGTTAACTCCAAAGAATATATTCACAGAAAAACTAAAAGATGTAGTCACTATGGAAAATAGTATGGTGGTTTCTCAAAAAGTTAAAAATAGATACTTTATGATATAGCAATTGCACTACTAGATATTTATGCAAAGAATACAAAAGTACTAGTTTGAAGGGATACACACACCCTGTTTATAGCAGCAGCATCTACAATAGCCAAATTATGGAAAAAGCCCAAATGTCCATCAAAAGAATGGGTGGTTAAAAAAAATAATAAGTTAATGGATAAAGATGTGGTATAGAAGCAGCTGGGTGGCTCAGTCAGTTAAGCATCCAACTCTTAATTCCGGCTAAGGTCATGATCTCGGGCATGGAATTGAGCCCCACATAGGGTTCCATGCTGGGCATGGAGCCTGCTTGAGGTTCTCTTACCTTCTTTCTGCACCTCTCCTCCTCCCCACCCCTGCAGACACTCTCTCTGTCCCTCTCTCTCTCTCAAAAAAAAAATGCAATATATATTTAGATATATAATGGAATTTTGCTCATAGGAAGGAATGAAATCTTGCCATTTGCAACATATGGATGGAGCTGACTTATTTAGCTATAATGCTAGTTAAATAAGTCAGTCAAAGAAAGACACATACCATATGATCTTACTCGTATGTGGAATTTAAGAAACAAAATAAACATGGGGGAAGAAAAAGAAAAATCAAGAAACATACTCAATACAGAGAACAAACTGGTGGTTATGTGAGGGGTGGTGGGTGGAGGGATGGGAGAACTAGGAGATGGGGATGAAGGAGTCCACTTGTTGGGGATGAGCACCAGGTGTTTTATGGAAGTCCTGAACCACTAAATTCTACACCTGAAATTAATATGGAATTTAAATTTTTTTAAAAAATATTTTTTTAAGATTTTATTTATTTATTCATGAGAGACAGTAAGAGAGAGAGGGGCAGAGACACAGGCAGAGGGAGAAGCAGGCTCCATGCAGGGAGCTCAACATGGGACTCGATCCCAAGTTGCCAGGA